GCTCTCTAGTCCAGGCTCAGTGCTTGAAGAGTGTCGTTCCCTCCCTGAATTTGCTTCTCCAAGTTAAACTGCCTGAGTTCTTTTCAGGTGTTTCCGGGAGTATCCTGAGGTCTGCCCGCCATTATCCCTGTGGACGCTCATCGACGTGCACGTTGGGGGCTGGCGAGGGTGGCCCTGTGCTGAGCTCTGGGGATCCAAAGACAAGCCAGGTGAGCCTGTGCCTTCCAGAAGTTCTTCTCACAGGAGAGGGATAGAGACACGGTCTGGAACCCAGTACCGCCAGTGCTGCCGGAAGGAGTGCCGGCTCGAGGCTGAGCAAAGCCAGACCGGCAGGCGAGGTGGCGCAGGTGACAGGCAAACCTGAGGCGCAGGGCAGTGACGGTGGACAGGCTGTCTTGTCGCCATTGCAGTAATCGGTGTCTCATTCAGTGCACCTCTGCCGTGAAGGGGACTTTGGCCCCACACTGCCTTCGGGAGTGATCTACAGGCCTCCAAAACACCCCCCTGCCCGGGGTGGGAAGCACCTTGGGACCAGAGAGGAAACTCCCAGGCGTGCCGGCTCCTTCCAGAGCCAGGTCTGAACCGGCTCCCGCTGCCTCGGGAGGGAGTGCCGGCAGGCGTGGGAGGGTGATACACCGTAGAGCAGTCATGCTCTGCATGGAAATAAGCTGGGAGGTAGCATGTGCACCCGTTCATCCGCCGGCAGCAGGCGCTTGGGATGCCGCCAGCCCCGAACGCCTGGCACTCCGGGCGCCGGGCACTTGCTGGTCAGCAGGTTCCTCTGCGCAGTCCCAGGCTGGCACTTCAGCACCAGCTCCGCTCACCTGCTCCCCGTCCTGGGCTTCCCCATTCGACCCCAACCCCAGCGCCTCTGGTCCCGCCGCCCCCCCCTCCCCCCCCCCCACGTGCTCTCAGCTCCCAAGAATCTGGATGGGCCTGTCCCAGGGCTGCTGCCCTTGTGCTGCATTTCCTTCGTCCTGTCAGTCATCAGGGGATCCGGGCCCCTGGATCTGGACTGTCCTTGAGGCCAGGAGCGCACAGGGACGCCATCAGCGCCTGGGCCCTTCATCTGGTCTCGGGGAGAACGAGGGGGAGGCACTGGCCGCCACGCGGTGCGGCAGGCGGGCCCGCGAGCACAGTGCAGTGGTGGTAAGTGTGGGCGGTTCCTTTATTATTATTTTTTCTCGAGGGAAATGCATTTGAAGTGCGACTCAGTGTGCCGAGCAGTTTGTCAAAACTAGTCTCGTTTTAGTGAAAATTTAATGGGAGTTTTGTGTTTTTGCTAAGTTGTGTATTTTAGGGAAAGCTGGGTATGTTTTCACACAGACTACCCGTCTCTCCAGTAATGGGGGCAGGCCAGTTGGGGTGGGTGGGATGAAAGGGGAAAGGCCAAAGCCTGACCCACGTCCGCATTCTCGGAGAGAAAAGCCACCGTGAAATAGCGACACAGGAGTGCAACCGAGGGCCACGCCCAACGGGTGGCGGGGCGGGCTGCAGTCCTGCTGGGAGGAGGGCAGAGCAAGGCGGGGCACAGGGCCCTGGGCTCTGGGTGGGCCCTGGGCTCTGGGGGGGCCGGCTGAGTGTGGGAAGCAAAGAGATATGCTTAGGGAGCCCCAGGTTAGACCGAAACAGCGAAGGAAAGGTCTGGAGACATTGGTGCCGCTGTCGGCAGTTTCGGGTCTTACGTGTGCCACCCTCCATGCTCATAGGCACGGTGGGTTCCAACTAAATTCCTGCAAAGATGCACCTCCAAGGCCCGCAGGACCTGGGCAGACCAGCGAGCACCTCGTCGGGCCCCGGCTTGCCAGGAGGGTTAGTGAAGGGCAGAGCAGGGTCCCAGCCCCAGTACAGTCCCCATCGCCAAGTCGGGAGTGGTGCCAGCCGTCACACGCATGTACCAAGTTGCACACCTGGAGGTGTTCCCCCGCCAGCCGAGGGCCTGTCCTCGTCCCAGGTGGCTGGGACGGCCTTGGGGACGTGCTACTTGGGTTGGGCGGCTGCAGGCCGGGCTCAGGGCCACTGCACCAGGAGAGCAGGGAGGCTGGTGCTGGGCGGCAAGCGGCCTCTCACAGGCTCAGCGGAAAGAGCTCTTTGAACCTTTCTGGGTCTTAAGTTAATTATTTCAGTGAGGCCTTCAGCTTGGACAAGCTCCAGCTCTCAGAAGGGCTGGAAGGACCTCTGAACCTACGCGGAGCCAGGTCTACAGGAAGGGAAGGGTCCTAGGCGTGCACGCCTCCTGCAGGCCCTGCCAGCCAGGCGTGGGAACCGGCACTTGGTCACCCAATGCAATGCACATGGTGGTAGCCTCACTTCTCACAGCTGAAGTCTCCCCTGCTCCTGGCAACCTCACAGCCAGGAAGGTGACTTCTTGCCATCAAAGCAATCGCCCCCTGCTCCCGGGGAAAGGAAATTCACTGAGAACCAGGCGCAGCCCAGGTGCTGTGGGAGGCGTTGGTGTCGGCTCCTGTGTCAGCTCAGGGCTGCAAATAGAAATGCAGAATGAGGACGCTCCGGTGCCCCCTCTTCAGCTCCCGCTGAGCAGCGGGTCTGCAAGGGCCAGGAGCAGTGGACAGAGCCCACGCCTCGGAACCAGTCGTCCTCCCTGAGCCCCGTTCCCGCCCCCACGGGTGGGTGGCGATGGTTCAGGCGCAGCGCGCACAAAGGGCCATGACAGCCAAGCCCAGCCTGTCTCCCACGAACTGTGACACATCAGGGCCTTTAAAAAACGTGAAGAATTCAGTTCGGCTTACGTAAGAAAGACATGTTCACCGTAGGAAACTCGGAAAGTGAAGTTTGAAGAAGGAAGTCACCTGTCGCCTCTCCGCCTCCGCTCGCTCCTGCTCCTCAGGGTTCCCCACATGTTCTGTGTGGGATCCGAGTACAGGCTGTTTCCTCCCGACCACGCTTCTGGGGGCGCATCAGCACCTCCCTGAGCCTGCACTGCGGGGCCTGCCTGGCGCCTCGCGGGCGGGGCCTGGTCTTGCAGCGGCCCTGTGTGTTGGCAGCCCCGAGCGGTTCTTCCTCCACACGCAGCTGTGTCTCCTAATCACTTCTGCAGGCGCTGGGTGCGTCTTCAGGGTCAGGGGCTCTTGGGTCCCCATGCGCGTTTGGAGTGCCTGGAGGCACTGTGCACTGTCATGGGGGGGGGGGGTAGGGGATGCTGCTGGCATCCAGGAGCTGGGGGCGGGGTGAGCACCCGCAGAGCCCGGAACAGCCCCCACAGCTGTGCTGCCGGATGTCAGTGGGGCTGCAGCAGGAACCCGGGCTGGGGGCTCGCTTCCCAGCGAGGCAGAGAGACTGGGAGTGAACAGAGCGATCTCCTCCGCAGTGGGTGGGGCATTTCACAGGCTTCCCGCGTTTGACGTAATTTCAAGGAAAATTAAACTCGCCCTGGAGCCCAGAGGAAGGGGAGGCGGTGGGGCCTGGTCCCAGAGTGCGTGACGGCAGCTGCGAGAGTGCACTCAGCGCAGCAAGAGGACACGAGGAACCAGGAACGCAGGGGAAGGGCTAGGAAACCAGGTGGCCCGCACAGTCGTGTCCAGCCGGGTCGCCGAGCCTGAGACGGCCCAGCCCCCTGGACCTCCCTGGGTGGCATGCTGAGGGGATGAGACCTGCGGTCAAGAAGCGGTGTGTCTGCCTCGGTGCTGCTGCCCACCGGCACCGCGGGGCAGCACTCACCCCGCACTGGGGCACAGCCACACCGGCCAGGAGCCCCTCTGGCAGTGGCGCAGGGAGCCTGCCGGGGAGGGCGACCTGCTGCTGTGGCTGCCTGGCTGCCCTCCACCCTCTGCAGGGCCAGGCCTTTCCCGCGGCTGCACTTCCTGGGCTCCACGGACCCAGGCCCCGGAGTTGGAGGACACTGAAGCCAGGAAAAGGGTGCCCTGCCTCCTGTCTCCCTGGCCTGGCCCCTCCTGCCCGCTCAGCCCAGGAAGGATGAGTGCAGAGATGCCCCAGCAGGGGGCCAGCCCAGCAAGTATTGACCGCGGTCCCTGGCAAAGGCTCCTGAGGGCCCTCCCAGCCTGGACACCACCTGCATGGGCCCCCACACCCAGGACGCCTGCGGTCCCCCATGCTGCCCTCCCCACACACCTGCTTGTACTGAGCCCCAGGGTCTGGGATAACCAGCTGCCCCGTCCCAGGTAGAGCCCACAGTCTTCAGCGGACAGACTGCCAGCCCCGGATGAGGTAGGCGCAGAGGCCGGGCCTGGCTTCCCAGGTGCAGGAGAACCTGGGAAGGGGAAGGCCTGCGGGACCAAGCTTGGGTGTCAGGACAGAGACGGCCCTGGCCAGCAGGTGGCAGCACATGCCCCCCTCAGGGCTGAGGAGTTGGAGAAGGGACAGCCAGGGTGGCATGTCCTGGCTGACTCTCATGGTGGGCCCACAGAGTGAGAGCAGCCGGGTGCAGTGGCAGCTGGGAAACACCCAGAAAGCCTGGCCGGGGACACTACGGTGGGACCCGCTGTGGGAGTCGGAGGGACTGGGGCTCTGAGGAGGGCCGTGTGAGGGCCCCAGGCTTCTGGAAGAAACTGCAGGGTGGGGCCTGGGGGCACGAGGGGCCAGTTCAGCCTGCGGGGAGAGCACCTAGCAGAGAGGGTGGGTGTCGGGGAGGGGATGCTGCCAGGCTGGCTGGAGGAGGGGGTAGTGTGGGGGGTGGAGGAACAAAAGGTTTCAAGTTTCTGGACTCCCGCCCTCCTCACAGCATCCACACCTCCCCCACTCTGCAGGCGGGGCTGAGCCAAGTGCCAGGCTCCACCCCAGGCCCAAGTGCTAGATGCTCAGCTTGGGGGCTCCTCCCTGGAGCTCCTCCCCCTCCACAGCCTTCCCCCAGCCCACCCCAGGCCTGCAGGGAGGGCCAAGAGGGGTTCATGGCATAGGACCAGGCGGGCACAGCAGGGTGACCCTCCCGTTCCTGTTGCATCTCAGAAGTGACGCAGAGGGACAGGCTCGGGGCAGGCCCAACCCCCTTTTTTTTACA